AATGTGACCAGTATGGTGGTGGTTCCGTAATGGTTTGGGCTGGTATGTCCCTACATACCAAGACCGACTTGATCATCATTCGAGGAAAACTGACTTCTGTAAAATATCAACATGACATTCTTATTCCTGTCAATATTCCTCATCTTCAAGCTGATGGAAGGGGTATGAAACTTATTCACGACGGTGCACCGGCACACACAGCACATGCAATCCGGAACCTCAACAGCAAAACATTCAGCAGCTACCCTGGCCGTCCAAGTCTCCAGATTTGAATGTTATTGAACACCTGTGGAATAAGTTGAATAGGCATGTGCCCAGGCGAGCAGTATAACCCCGGACCTACCAGAGCTTCAACAGGCCCTGGTGCAGGAATGGACAAACATTCCACAGAGATTTCTGAGGAACTACGTAATGTCCATGAGACAGAGGTGTATTTGTTTGTTTGTTTTGGGGTTTTACGTCACATCAACACAGTATAGGTCATATCACGACGTTCCAGCTTTACTGGTGGAGGAAGACTTCAGGTGCCCTTCCATGCATTATTTCAGGCACGTACGGGCACCTGAGTAGAACAACCGACGTTCCGTAAGCTAGCTGGATATAGATAGCTTCCTCAAATGAAAGAATCCAAAGTCCCTGTTGGGATTCGAACCCACAGACAGAGGTGTATGAAAGTGATACAAGCTCAGGGAGGACATATTGGATATTAACTGATTTATATTATGTTTTACTTATTATGTGATAAGAACTGTGATAAAACGAATGTAGGACAAAACCCCACCAGTTAAAACCCCACCACTCAAAATTTTATAGAGTGGACAAAACCCCACCACTACATTTCATAGAGTGGACAAAACACCACCACTAAATTTTACAGAGTGGACAAAACCCCACCACTTCAGTTTTATAGAGTGGACACAACTTTCTTGTAAACATGTTAAAAAACAGACAATTGTGCATCAGCAGAAACCCAAAATAATGTGTGAACAACTCATCAATAAGGAGTTACAGTTTGTAACACCTTTTTTGCAATCAAAACATCAATAAATAATCTGTTTTGTTCTTCAGGGATTAGGATTAAGTTTTTTGTGTACAGTTTGTAACACCTTTTTTGCATATTGCACATGCAAGATGTACATGCATTGATTTGCCAATAAAATGAAATGAAATGTTAATAAAATTGTTCATTCTTATATTACACAAATGTTATATTGAAATTAAAAAATAAAATGTGAAAAAAATGTGTATATTATATATATTATAATTCATCAAATCTTGCCCAATAAGTGGTGGGGTTTTGTCCACTCTGTGAAATTTAGTGGTGGGGTTTTGTCCACTCTATACAATTAAGTGGTGGGGTTTTGTCCACTCTATAAAATTTTGAGTGGTGGGGTTTTAACTGGTGGGGTTTTGTCCGTCTTCCGGATAAAACAATCATTTCACATCATTGTGTTGTGAATTTTGAGATTAATTTTCTGTTACTTATGTTTTTTTTCTGTTAAATTTTATACTTTTATACTTATTGACTACAATAACTTTTTTTTACAATACATGTGTGAAGTGTTCATTTACATGACATTTTTGTATCTATACTCTTAATTTTACCAATAACCATAATTTAATAACCCAAATACACAAGTGTTGGGTTAGAAAAGTCTTTCAGTGTATGTGACAATCAACCATAATTGTCTGGTCCCAATGAATTGCTTTGTCTAACTTTCACACCTTTTAATTGTCCATTAATCAGATAAATAATACCTGTTTTAACACATAGAGGGGCAAAATAATTAAGTCCAATTATAATCCAGTTGTCAGTATTCTTCAAACAAACTCTACACACCTCTTACCTCAATTACACAGATTACATGTATACACAGGTATCAAGTGATGTAGCGTCTACTCCCTACTGCTAAATATGGTAAGCATAATGCAATTGATGTGTGTTAATAAATTGAGGTGTAATGAACATAATTACCTGAGTAAACTGGATTAAGACTTGTGTCAGATTGTAAAAAAAAATTATGGAGTGCTAAGGAAATGTTTTTAGCCAGATTTTTTTTAATTTACCTTTCTATGGCAGCATGAATAATACGGAAAATGTTGATACCAGACCAGAAAAACCTTTTGATATGGAAATGCTTTTAAAAGTATGATATTTATTTTAAGGATTTGAATGTATCAAATTCAATATTATTTTGTACCATAATGATTCAATACAGTGGAGCCTTGCTAATCCGAACCCTTCTAATCCGGAATCCTTTCTTATCCAAACGAAGTGTCCGGTCCCGATTTTGTTCGTTCTATTTTCAATACTTAAAAAACCTTTCGGATCCGGAACCTGTCTACTCGAATTCTGGACGATTTTTTCAATTAACCTCTCGGATCCAAACAGATTTATGAAGATAATGTGCTGAAACCATTCTGACATTTAAGGCCCCTGTGACCTTGACCTTTGACTTAGTAATCCCAAAATCAATCAGTATGTGAAATATGAACACTTAAAAAGAATTAATGATCAACATTATTTTTTGTCCAATCACATTGTAGTATTTTTCAAATTTCTGCTAAGTCTAACTTTGGTTAATGTGTACTAACTAAATAAAATTTACCTAATCTGTTGTCTAACCAGTCTAACAAATTTCAATAATGCATTATATTAGGGAGGAGTTAGAGGTGTGATTAACGGTGTACGGACATAATCCCCTTCGGACAAAATCCCCTTCATGCATTTTTGTATATCTGGACATAATCCCCTCCATGGGTGGACATAATCCCCTTCATGTGTGAAATTTTGAAGTGGACAAAATCCCCTTCATAAAATTGCTACCTAGGACAAAATCCCCCTCGGTTTATAAAGTGGGTAAGAGAGTGACATACTGCATTATGCTGTGTGGTAAATATCTTAATGTATAAATAAGTAAAAATTATTTCAGCAGAAAAGCACATTCAATTAGCACATTTTAATCACATTAAAATTGCTTTGTTAAAGCATTCATAACAATCAATCAAGTAGTACAGTGATCTTGGTTTGATTAAATTATCACTCATTCATCAATAGAAATTGTAACAATGGACAGTATGTATCAATTAGAATTATCAACTTAATCAATGAAACAATTATTGGCTAAAAAAAATGTTTTTGATACTAATCAATTTAAAACAATTAAAGAAATTGCCTAATCAAATATGTGTTATGCAGTTGATAATTTACCATAACTTTAATGAAAACTTCTAAACTAAATAAAGGTTAACTATTGATACATAATTATAAATAAAAAAACAAAAGTTCATTATTCATCAATTTTTTAGGGAGTATAGTAATACATTATTCATAAATTTTTATGGAGCATAATAATAATTAGAAACCTATGAAACAAGGGGAATTTGTCCGGGTAGTGAAGGGGATTTTGTCCAGCCTTGCAAAAACATGAAGGGGATTATGTCCACCCATGAAGGGGATTTTGTCCGGATAGGCGAAGGGGATTTTGTCCGAAGGGGATTATGTCTGACATTCTTGATTAACACTCTGAATTGTAAAATATCTAGGTTAGCAAAACAATGCCAAGGTAAAAAACAATTAAGCGAGGTCAGATGTTACTTAAATGTGAGGATACAATCAATTAATTTATTATATAGATAATACATGTGGGACATGCAGAGACAAATGATTACATAGTAACTTTTTTTATATCCTTTTAACACTAAGAAAAATGTCTGTTATAAATTGCTGACTGTTTTAAACTCTTTTTTTCTAGAAAAAGTAACCAAAACATAATTTTCTTTCAGTTGATAGGAATGAACTGCATTAACAATCCTTGATGTTAAGAAAACAATGATTACATTTTTTGGCTGGAAAACTCAATGTAAATGGAAAACCTAGATTGACACACAGAAAAACTGTTTTTCAAATGAGCAAATCAATAGGGATTTTAAATGTTAGTAAATAACAAATTTGTATAGATTATTAATCTAATGTATTTTCTCACATTTTCAATGTATTTATAAAGGATGTACACATTTCATTAACTCCATTGTTTTACCCCCAGATATTTTAGTCTTACTGTAGATAAAGGTATAAATTCTGTGACATTTCAGTAAAAAAATGTGTCTGATTATTTGTTGATAGGGCCATTTATTTAGCTTATCTAAATGTGATATGTTAGAAACTTGACAAAGTGTAGACATCTTGTAATGCAAAAGGGCAGAGCTATCGGTGATTTAGTGAAATGCCTTGTTTTTGGTTGAAAAAATAATGTTGATCATTAAATAGGTTAATGTTTAATAATATGCATTAATACATATTATTTAACACTAACCTATACTTAATATCCAAACATGACATGTGGAAAAGGAATCAATGACATATGTGACTTTATAATGGGCTTATTATTTATTTTTTTTTTATCTTTTTAATTTTTGTTTTATGACACAACAACATTTTAAATGTCATATGATGACTTTCCAACTTTACTAGTGGAGGAAGACTTAGGTGACCCAAATGTAATACAGGCACCCTGAGTAGAGCCATCAACATTCCTTAAACTAGCTGGGTAGCTTCCTCGCATGAAAGAATCCAAAGTCATTGAGGGGATTTAAAACCACAACAGTGATTTCAAGTCACTTGGCAAAGGAAATCCTTTATCTGGTAAGACAATTTGATGATTCATAGGTCAAAACCTGATGAATTAAACTTTCAACATTTTTTACTTTTTAATAATGTCCAGCTTCTAAAATTCCAAATTTGCACACAAGTTATTTGTGTAGACCTACATCAAATGGAACATTAATCTATCTACATTTATTTCAAGTCCCATCATGTCAAATAAAACTCAATGCCCTTGAACACATTTTTTTATAATTATTATTGTGTTATGTTCCAAAGTCAGTATATTTTGATCACTAGTTCTTCCCTGAATCTTAACAAACAAATATCATTTAAATATAACATAAAAACAACTAACTATACAACTTGATTTACTTGAATATTAAAATATATTTACATTCTAGCTGCTAGAGTCTCAGTGACAGTGTTCAACACAACATCAAGGTCAATGAGGTCACTACGACTTCTCTTCTGACAATCTGTCTCCCATATCATCATTGTCTGATCTGTTAATATAACATTACATAACTTGACATGGGATCTGTAGCATAATTTGACATACAAACATAGGACAAAAGCACTTAAGAAGCAGGGTTATTTAAATACAGGTTTTTTTTTCTCAGCACTTTAGGAACATGACCAAATCCCTAGAATTGGGAAATTTTGCGATGTTTTAGACAAAATGGGAAAAATTTTCAACATACTGACCCCCGTCTGTAGATTTTCCACAGTCTTTCAGGAAAAACTCTGGAAAATAACCAATTTTCATGGAAACAAGCTTTCTTCCACAGTATTTACAGAGTTCTCTGGAACAATTTTTATGGAGAACTCTGGAACTTTACTTTTTCATCAAAAGAAATGGCCATGAAACAGTTCTGGAAACTCTGGAAAGTTAACACTTTGACAATTTTCAAGGATTTTTACTCTGGAAAACACTTGGATTTAGAAATAATTTCAGCTGATTAGGACTTAAGAAATTTTCATTTGATTTCTGCATTTACTTCACTTAATAGAGTAAAGTACTCATATTTCGACTCCTTACGATAAATTTCCGTTACAATTTAACATTTTTATGTATATCCTAATTTCGACACCTCACTTTACAGTATCTGACATTTTCGCATGCTTTTCAAACACTACTTTTTAGGTAGCATCTAAGGTTTTCCATGTAATAATAGTATGAGCTTTGTCTGTTGAGGGTCCGGTATTTCGACATGGCGATCCTAAATTCGACACCCTAATTAAGGTTTAAGAAATACATGTAAAGTTCAAATAATAATAAAAGTAAAATGAATTCCAACACTATTAATAACACTTTACAACCCAAAATATTGCATTAAAAAGCACAATCAGTTCATCTCTTTAATCAGTAAAAATATGCATGTGTAGATACATCTTTTGTATGCCTTACACAAATAATTTATATGCCTTACACAAATAATTTATATAACAAGCAATTATCATAGTATTGCAAGCAATCCATAAGTCCCCTACCGGTAAGAGCCCAAGCAACATTCTGAAGGGCCATTGGCCATTCACTTATGTTCCTATTTTAAGTAAATTTGTTGAAAAAGTTCTTTAAAAGTGATCACAGGAAACAGTTTTTATGTACAGACAGACGGACTGAAGGACACACTAAAGTTATTTTTTAAACATCCCTGTTATCAAAATATAACATTTTTAAAATCCTATCATGATTGAAGAAGTTGGAGTAAAAATTACCAATTTCTCAAAAAAAAGTCTAAGTTCAAAAGGGGCATCATTCTGGAAATAGTCTTGCTAGAGTATTGAACACTCACAAATGTTAAGTGATAATAAGAAACATTTATATGAAGTTTGAAGTAGATACATTCAGAAAAAGAAGTTATTAAAAAAAACAATGTTTTTTTCATGAAAATTTTAAGTTCAAGGGAGGTAATTCTGATAAATTTTGTGCTAGAGTTGTAAACCTTGTCACATATGATGTGGTTGATGACAAGCAACTTATATTTAAAGTTTGAAAAAAATACCTTAAGAAATAAAGAACTTATAGTGAAAAAACTTAAAAACTAGAATCAGAAATCTTGAAATTCAGTCTATTTGTTGCCATAGCAACCAGAATTTTCAACATAGGAAGAAAAGAAAAAGACGTACATAATCTCCATACTGCCATCTATCCATATATCAAGTTTCATAAAAATATTTTCAGTACTTTTTGCGTTATCGCGGGATCCAGGTTATGTGTAAAATTTGCCATATTTTCAGTCTATTTGTTGCCATAGCAACCAGAATTTTCAACATAGGAAGAAAAGAAAAAGACGTGCATAATCTCCATACTGCCATCTATCCATATATCAAGTTTCATTAAAATATTTTCAGTACTTTTTGCGTTATCGCGGGATCCAGTTTTGTGGACGGACGGACGGACAGACAGACAGACGGACAGACGGACGGAGGGTAAACCTAAAGTCCCCTCCGGTAAACCGGTAGGGGACTAATTATAGAGAAAAAGGTTAATTATAAATCTTTGAAGCGGGGATTTCAAATTTAATTGCATCTGGCAGCAGTCCACATTATGTACCACGGACAGGCTGTATAGCGGAAACATTTCTTTTTAAGATTAGTTCTTAGTTTAAATCATAGGCCTAAGAAAGTAAGTAAGTAAACGCTTTATTTATCGAGGCAACACATTTGGTTTCCCAATCTTCCATGTGGGCCTCTAAGAAAAACATAATTTACAATATATACAACTACAATATTACAAAGCTAATTGCAACATTGTGATACAATGTACATTGAAATTGTCAGAACAAGAAATACATGTTAAATGTTTACAGTCCATTCATAGCATTATACATGTCAAAGAAGTACATATCAAATTAAACAAAGTGGGAAATACGTTTTAGGTGGAACATCAAATGATTAGATTCTAATTTTGTTATACAATGATTAATTTAACCCATTACTTCATGAGCATTTTGTGAAAAATGGCTGTTTTCATTGAAAAGTCTCCCGTTACAAGTTCAAATTGCTATAATACTATAAAAACTGCTTCAACACTAATCAAACTTGGCACAAATGTTAACTGGACCATTGTCCTTGCAACAACATGCTCAGGCTTAAATTTTCTGTTACCATGGCAACGAGGGGACATCTCAAAATTGCCAAAAATCACTATTTTGCGTTGATTTTTTCCATCAAAATTGATTTCAAAGTGCTGCAACTTCTCAATGGATTGAGATAGAGTCAAATGCTTTTCAGCGTTGGTTACACGTTACCTTATGATCAATCTGGGGTCATTTACAGCCACTCACAAGTCAAAAATTTTCTTGGCGATGAGGGGGACTCCGCCCCCCTTCAAACCCCCCAAAACAGAAGGGGGCACATCCCCCTTCTGGCAACCCCCTGATGTATCTTTTGGTTGGGGGGCCGCGCCGAAAAAGAGGTCACTTTTTTTAACAACATTTCTCAAACAAAAACAAGTGTTTGGGGCCTAAATAAGGCATTTTTTCATCATTTGAGACAACAAAAAAGGGGGGGGGGTGAAAAAGGCGTTAAAAGGCGTGTATATGAAGTAATGGGTTAACTGAAAATGATGAAAATACTTGAAATTACCCTAAATCGCGTTTTTTCATGTTTAAACATGGCCTGTCATAAAAATTTGAAGAAAAATTGTTGTTTTGTAATTTTTTTTATTTTTTTCATTAACCCATTACTTCATGAGCATTTTGTGAAAAATGGCTGTTTTCATTGAAAAGTCTCCCGTTACAAATTCAAATTGCTATAATACTATAAAAACTGCTTCAACACTAATCAAACTTGGCACAAATGTTGACTGGACCATTGCACTTGCAACAACATGCTCAGGCTTAAATTTTCTGTTACCATGGCAACGAGGGGACATCTCAAAATTGCCAAAAATCACTATTTTGCGTTGATTTTTTCCATCAAAATTGATTTCAAAGTGCTGCACTTTCTCAATGGATTGAGATAGAGTCAAATGCTTTTTAGCGTTGGTTACACGTTACCTTATGATCAATCTGGGGTCATTTACAGCCTCTCACAAGTCCAAAATTTTTCTTGGCGATGAGGGGGACTCCGCCCCCCTTCAAACCCCCCAAACAGAAGGGGGCACATCCCCCTTCTGGCAACCCCCTGATGTATCTTTTGGTTGGGGGGCCGCGCCGAAAAAGAGGTCACTTTTTTTAACAACATTTCTCAAACAAAAACAAGTGTTGGGGGCCTAAATAAGGCATTTTTTCATCATTTGAGACAACAAAAAGGGGGGGGGGGGGGTGAAAAAGGCGTTAAAAGGCGTGTATATGAAGTAATGGGTTAACCTTTTCCCATATATAAGCAAGTTTCGACAGCTTTCCCCCCTTTTTTTTTGAGGCCTCAAACAGTGAAAAAATGCACTATATAGGCCCCGAACACTGTTTTTCGTTTGAGAAATGTTGTTAAAAAAGTGATCACTTTTTTGGCGCCGTTCCCCATCCAAATGTTACATCAGGGGGTTGCCAGAAGGAGGGGGATGTGCCCCCTTATGTTAGAGGAATTTGAAGGGGGCGGCAGCCACCCTCATCGCCAAGAAAATTTTGGACATGTGACAGGCTAAAAATGGCCTCAGGTCGATCTTAGGGTAACTAGTAACCCACGCTGAAAAGCCTTTTCCTCTATCTCAATTCATTGAGAAGTTGCAGCACTTTCAAAACAGTTTTGATGGAAAAAACAATGCAAAATAGTGATTTTTGGCAATTTTGAGACGTCCCCCCGTTGCCATGGTAACAGGAAATTTACCATTGAGCATGCTGTTACAGAGGCTATGGTCTAGTCAACATTTGTTCCAAGTTTCATCAGTATTGAAGCATTTTTCATAGTTTCATAGCAGTTTGAATTTGTTACAGGAGGCTTTTCAATGAAAACGGCCATTTTTCGCAATATGCTCATGGGGTAAAAGGTTAAAAATGAACAAATTGTTATAAATATGATGTACTTATATGTAAATAACTTGTTAAACAGATAATATCATTGAGCATTAAGCTGTGGTTTTAATAATTTGATTAGAAATTTTTCTTTTTCTTCTCTAAAAGAGTCACTTTCATGTAATATTATACAGAGGGACAATATTGTTATATTTGTTATGATTATATTATACGTTACTGTCTGAAGATATGTAAAAAACATTTGAAAGCGCTAACAGAAATAAACGTATAAAAAATTAACGAACTTTGTACTCTGCATTTCCCAAAACATACTTTTTTTATACATGAGATCCTAACAAGGAATCGAACTTCTTTATATATATATATATAGGTTTGTGAAAAATATTTGCATCTACAAAATACCTTTCAAAAACACTGGATCCCAAGAAGGATACAAGAACGTGGAAAAAATAACAATAAATTTGGAGAAAATAAACGTTCATACAGTGCTAAAGTATAAATACCCAAGTACTTTCGGAGTATTATGCCTTCATCAGAGGTGTATTACATGTATAGTGTGCACACAATCGAGCACAAAATCTCAA